CAAACGTGACCGATACGTTGTGTTGTAGTAGTAGTAGTAGTAGTAGTAGTAGTAGTGGTAGTGGTGGTAGTGGTGGTAGTAGTAGTAGTAGTAGTAGTAGTAGTAGTAGATGACGTGACCGATACGTTGTGTAGTAGTAGTAGTAATAGTAGTAGTAGTAGTAGTACTAGTAGTAGTAGTAGTAGTTGTAGTTGTAGTTGTAGTTGTTGTTGTTGTTGTTCTTTTTGTTGTTCTTGTTGTTGTTCTTGTTGTAGTAGTAGTTGTAGTTGTAGTTGTAGTAGTAATAGTAGTAGTAGTTGTAGTAGTAATAGTAGTAGTAGTAGTAGTAGCAGCAGAAGTAGTAGTAGCAGTAGTAGTAGTAGTAGCAGCAGCAGCAGCAGTAGCAGTAGGAGTAGTAGTAGTAGTAGTAGGAGGAGTAGGAGGAGGAGGCGAAGTAGTAGTAGTAGTAGTAGTAGTAGTAGTACTACTACTACTACTACGTCGACGACGATGACAACGATGACGACGATGACTACGACGAGGACGACGACTGCGACGACGACGACACGACGACGACGACGACGACGACGACGACGACTACTACTACTACTACTATCCGAGGGAGTGGAGTAGTTGCCGTAGTCGTTGTCGTAGTTGTCGTGGTGGTGGTAGCGCTAACCCGATATTGATGATAGTCACGGTCGTCGTATCATCGTGCAGAAGTGTAGGAAACCTAGTAATAAATTCACTCAGAAGCCATGCCTAAAGGCGCCAATGTGCTGTCATGCGCAAGCAGCTCATGGGTCACAGAAGGATTGAAGATCCTCCCCGCCAACAAGCCCCGCTGTGGAAGCCCAATGAATGCCTAATTTTCATAGCCTCGGGAAATCCCACCGAAAGTCTTTGCCCCACCCATTTAAGCTTGCAATTGCCTGGAACTCTAGAATCCGCGTGGCATCTCTTAAGCTACTTGAACCATGTGTGATGACTCCTCAGCCAGGATGCTCCACCAGTGCTGCCTCAGCGCGCGCTGGGCCTTTGGGGCATGCCGAGATCCCCTGTACCCAAGGGATCCATGCACGAAGGAGCTTTGCAACCTAGGGCAAACGTATCAGAACCGCGGTGAAACCACTCCAACTGTCAACAGATGGAACTGCAACCAGGTTTGGTCCATTGTTATAGGACCGGGCTACGTGAAAAAAGGTGACAAAGAGCGAGGTGTTTGGCAAGACGGGCCATTACCAAGTTCCCCTGCACATCCTCAACAGTGAGAAGCCTTTGCCCTCAAATTCTGTAAAACAACAAGCTCCGGGCCAAAAAAGGGATCCTCATCTCTTTGAGTCATATGTACGGATGCTTGATGACTGGTGGCCCGTGACTCGTCCAGTCTGTGTGGGGCTTACAACTGATTTCGTAGATGAGGGGACCTCTGGCTTGCCGAACATCCCAAGCTGCATTGCACCTACAAAGCAACTAACCTTGCGACCTCACATGGGGAAAAATGTCGTGTTGGGAACACAGGTTCGTTGGAATTCCAAACCTCAACGGCGCCACAATTCTAGACAGAGCTTCGATCATTGCGGAGCATTGCAGCGCAACGGCAACAGCAACAGCAACAATGATGACGACGACAACAACACCAGCAGGGCACCCTTATAACACTTACATATACCTGGAGTCCCTACGAGTTCCCCCACTTCTCAAATGCATGGATACGTGGAGTATGGCTCGCGACGACGCATCCAATTATTCCCCAAGCCATGTGCAGCAGCAGGTGCCAGCATACAAGGGTGGTGGTGAAGCTCCAGAAGCATACTAAGCTCAGAGTAGGTGCAAACAAGCCCAACCCCACTCCTCCCCCACCCCGGGGAGGGTGGGGAAAGCAAAACTTGTAGTGCAGCACTACAACCGACATGAAGTACAGAAGTACTATGTATGCAACATGACCGAATATTCTTGAAACATGTCGAGCAACTTGCTTGAGATCACAACGGTGTGCTAAGAGACAACTGGAGACTGCCTTGAGTAAAACCAAGTACAGGTCATCTGGAATTGTCAGTGCTGGGAGGGCAGGCTGGGTCGAATCAAGATGTCAGATTCAGGGACTCAGCCTCGAGCTGTCAGAATCCTGACCACAATTTGAAGAACCCCTGAACATGAACAGCCAAGGGTCCGTATCCTAGGATGACGTGCACGTTGCTGCGGACGTCCTGGCTCCATATCAGTCTTTCCCCGAATGAAGGTACATTACGAGATCCTGATGTTAGTATTTCACTCATCGCGCTCTGTGTATGCGGCTTTGCACGGGCGTCCTTGAGAAATACATACGCAAGTTACATGGGAGTGTCTCAAAGAAAGCTCTTTATGCCTTGGTA